AACTCACAACATTCTATGATTCTCTGATTCTTTCTCTTTGACTTTCTACACTCACCCTTCTCTCTGCTCATTCAGGTTGTGATCAGACCCTTCCATGTACAGAAAGTATCACGAGTACCTGGTGTCCCACTACTGTTAAATAAGCTGCTCAAGCCTCGTGGTTTCTCTGCACATCTAAGACAGCTTTAAAACCCCGGATGCATTCTGGCTAGGGAAACGGTGATGTGCTCATTTTAACATCTGATTTTTCGCTCTTCAGTTATCTGGTAGGAGAAGAGCTCTGGGTGGTCATGGAGTACTTGGCAGGAGGCTCCCTAACAGATGTTGTGACAGAGACCTGCATGGACGAAGGACAAATCGCAGCTGTGTGCCGAGAGGTAAAGCAGCACTCGTGCTTGGAGGGAGCTGCAGTTGGGAAGGGGATGTGGGCTTTCCACAGCCTATGACTGGCTCTACAGGAACATCTGCCTCCAGCTTCTGTAATGCTACAGGGTGGATTTCATCTGGGATGTCGCAGCATACAATCCTAAAGCAAACCTATTATGTTTTACCCTAGAAGGAGGACTGGAATGCAAAAAGGGGTTGGAATCCCCTTGGTTATGCATGTTCTCCAGGTCTTATGGGACTAACTTGTCCTCCTAGGACCTGCTGATCCCAATGGGGTATCTCTGTAGCCCTGCACGTACTGAATGTATGAAAGACTACAAGACACTAAGCCCTTGCTACTCAAAGTGCACGTTGTTGGAGTCCATTAGTTGACTATTTGTGACTGGTGAATGATTTCATGCACAATAAGAATATCTCAATTATTATTATTTATTTTTTTCAGTGTCTCCAAGCTCTGGAATTCCTCCATTCAAACCAAGTTATTCACAGAGACATCAAGAGTGACAACATCCTGCTGGGAATGGATGGCTCTGTCAAACTAAGTATGCCAGGAACATTGCTGGTGATGACTTGAGTTATCAACCCAGGCTTGTTATCTGCTCTGGGTCAGGCCTATGAGGGACATGAGTGTTTGAGATGCTTGATGCTGTGGTGATGAAGGGGCTGTAGAAATGCTCCTGTAGGTATTTTTTGTGGCATTGGTTTTAATGGAGATGGACGAGCATGAATCCTTGTGAGCTGATACCAGACTTGAAGTGAGGTTTGGGGTTTGTTTAGCTTTGAGCCATCTGTTTTTGTGGACTAAAAGAACAGTATTTCAATGCTACTCCAGTCTAGAAAGCTGGGTTTGAAGGTGTAGGGCCAGAATTCTTCATTTGTGAGCCATCTTGTTCAGTCTGGAGAATACTGCAGGTAGTTGGGGGGCAGGGGGAATAGAGGGAAAATTGAAAACTGGGTAACTAGAAAACATTTAATCTTACCACACCAACCCAGACTGGACTCTAAATGTTGTTTCCTCATTGTGTTACCACCAGTGATGAATACCTTGAGACTGTTCTGCCCCTCGGGTGCTCAGGTAGCTGTTGTGATTGTCGTTGCCCATGCAGAGCTGAGTCTGGGAACCAGTGAATGATTATCTTCCACCTATAGCTTTAACAGAATTGTGCTCCTTTTCTCTTCCTCTCAGTTCTGTTGGCCAGCACCCAACAAGCATAAATAAATCTATTTTTATGGGCAGTGACAGCAGATATGACTCAAAATTCACACAGTGCAGATATGCTGAGTAAGAAGGTGGGTTTTTTTGGTTGGGGTTTTTTTTTTTTTTTGCACATAATTGCTTTTTAGTCTAAAGCTGTACTTTGGTACAGTCAGATCTCTGGAGTGTTGGCCATGAATAGCTGATCAGGGCCAAAGTGCTCTGTTCTTCTAGAATAACTTCTTTGAGCACAGTGTGCAGGTACCGGGCTGTAGTTTAAACTTAGAGAAGTCCCTGTGGATCTGTAACCTTCTGGACCTGAGCTGCTTATTGGCTCTGCTGGAAATTTGCTCTGTTTATGAACCATATGTACCTTTTCTGGTTGTTACCCTTGATGAAAACTCAGCTAGGGATCAGTTTAATTTTCATCATTCTGCCTAAAATTAAACTCGTGGTGCCATAGGGGGTCAGGATGGGCAGGGCATCTTGCTGTGTTGATTCTGCTGGGCTCACAAGAATAAAATCAGTCTTCTTTTGATAAGACAAATACAAATAAGACATAGGACCCAGCAATCTTTATATGAAAGCTTTCCATCTTCTGTCTATTCAAAGAAAATAATCAGTATAAATTCAGGTACTTTAAATTTATTCTGAACACTGTTTGCTCTGTAAAGCAAATCCTGTTTGAGGGATGATATATCTACTGGGGAAGTAACATCTCTGGGACTGAAAATATCACCAGACAATACAATGTGTGGGTTGGGGATTTTATCTGGATCAGTCTGTGCATTAATATCTATTTTCACATACTGTGGAGCAGTTTTTAGACCATTATTACATCGTATATTACAGCTGCATAATGCTGCAAACACAGTCAAGTGTCTCAACATCCATATATGGGTTTTTTTTAACTGATCCCCATCGTTCACAGAGACAAGTCAACAGCTCTGTAATCCTCATGGCCTTGGTGAGTCAGAATTGGAAACTTACCTCTCAACGCTGTCTTCTGTGTTAGCCACAAAACCACCCCTCCTTTCACAGTTGCAGCAGCAGCCCAGCGGGGTAACTGGTACTACAGCTCTGGCATCAGGAAACATTGGGGTTTCTGGAGAAATTTGCTGATTTCTAAGTCTGTTTCTCTCTCCTTCCTCTTTAATTTTTCAGCTGACTTCGGCTTCTGTGCCCAAATCACTCCTGAGCAGAGCAAACGCAGCACCATGGTGGGGACCCCATACTGGATGGCACCTGAAGTGGTGACACGGAAAGCGTATGGACCCAAAGTGGATATCTGGTCCCTGGGGATAATGGCCATCGAGATGATCGAAGGAGAGCCCCCCTACCTCAATGAGAACCCCCTAAGAGTGAGTATCTTTTGCCTTCAGGACTGTGCTGTTGGTGAAACTGGGCTGTAAAGGAGGCAGGTGAATCCTTCAGTGTGGTTTCACCACCTGCAGCCCCATATCTTCTTAGATGTCACAGAATCCCAGAGTTGCCTCGATTGGAAAAGGCCTTTAAGATCATTGAGTCCCATCGTTAACTTCACACTGACAAGTCCCCGACTAAC